TCTAATTCCTGCAAGATTGGATCAAGAAGAAGGAGGATAATTAAGATAGAAGGGACTTCTGGATCATTCTGGTGAAGGCCCATGATGTTTGATGTGAAGGGAGACCATACTGAGATGAAGGAGGATGCAATTTGCAATGTTCCTTACTACAGGGCTACAGGGATGGTAGACAAGGGCTGTGCCACTGAGGAAATCCTAGTCCTTTATATTCCTATTTTGGTTCATATTGAGGGCAAGAATGTCTTTAAGGGATTTGTATGGTGGGTAACTCATCTTTCTATTTCGTTGATCTTTCTCCCCTGGGCTTGTATCTTAGCTTTATATTTCTTCTTCTTCCTTTTAGCATATGTGATCTGGTCTGTGCCTCATGCAGGTCCCAGGGAAGGTTTGTACAGCTAGGGATGACTCTTCAGGCCCCAAGGGCAGAGCTTACTTGACCAGGAAGACTGTGACTTTAGACCTTGTGTACAACTTTCTTCTTTTATTTTTAAATTGAATGATTCTATATCAATACGGGAGGGAAAAAATTTGTACCTAGAATAAGACATATAATCTTCTACCAAAATAGTAATATCACTAAACAATGTTCAAACACATTTATTTAATAGACAGCAAAAAACAACACTATTTTTAGTAGATGTTTAAAAAAGAAAATTGGCTTTTTCCATGATATAAACTGATCTTCCAAGCCTCAATTTCTAAATTCAGAATATATATAACTATCTCTCTGTCACATAAACCAGAACATTTTAAGGTGAGGAGTAGAAAAAAAAATAAAATAGAAAATGACTTCTCTCTCTCTCTCTATTTGTGTAGGTGTTTTTAAAAACAGTCATCCCTGGGGTAGAAGGTGTCATTGTATCTGTGCAGGATGACAAATTTCATCTTCGCTGCCTTAACAAGTCAAGTAGTCACATCCTGTTAACAAATCATCACTACTGTGGGTTAGTAGAAACAGCCACACAAATCTGAATGACGTCTGAAAATTGAGGACATCATTTTTTCAATATTTGCATCCCAGCAGGTGCTCTGTTGCCTGCAGTGGGAGCTCGTCCTCCTGTCTGCCTCTACCTTCCCTAGACACAAGCAGCACAAGTTCCAAAGGGTCAGGCCATGCTCTCCAGAGGACACTGCAAATCACTGGTGGCCAGAAGCTGTGCATTCCCCATCCACACATTCTTTTGGTTCAGTTCTGTGAATTTTAGAAATGCCAAGGAACCATGACACAAAAGCCTTGATGTGGAAATTAAAAACCATTGGCTGAAGGAATTGGCATCCCTAGTAGTGTGTGTGTGTGTGTGCATATGAGAAAAAGATAAGAGGAAAAGGAAGAGGAAGAAGAAGAAGAAGAGGAGGAGGAGGAGGAGAAGGAGGAGGAAGAGGAGGAGGAGGAGGAGGAGAGAAAGAAAAGAGGAGAGAGGAGATAAAAGAGGGGAGGGAGGAGAATAGGAAAGTAGGAGGAGAGGAGAGGAGAGGATAGAAAACTACAGAAACAGACATGAGATCTAACTAATTAGCAGTTAATTAGTATTAAACACTCATTAGATGCAGCAAGAGTCAACAAGACTAAAATCCAGATGATCCTCTACCCAACAAATCCATCATAAGTTGAAATCAGGTGAAAAAGAAATGCATTTCTTGAACCTACTCAAACATCAAGCTCAGCCTTATCTACCATAAATGTTCCCAGGACACTTAGAGTGGCCTAGGGCTAGGGAAATTCATCTAACACAAACCTACTTAATAATAAAATGCTGTCGAACATGTATGATTTATCAAATATCTGTAGCCAAAACACTCTGGCTTCACTGTTCACTGTAGGGATGGTTTCTTCCCCTCATGATTTCCTTCCACATTAGGAGCAGTGGTCTCTGATGCAGCCCAACATTGAAGTGAGAACCAGACCAGCCTCTGCAAGCCAAAGATCAAAATTCAAGTCAATTCCAAGGTATTTTTGAGGCTATTATGTAAAGGGGTTGCTTTTCTGATTTCAGTCTCTCTCTCCTTGTTGTTGGCATACAGAAAAGCTACTGACTTTTTGTGGGTTAATTTTATACCCTGCTACTTTGGCCAGGTTTTGGATCAGCTCAAGTAACTTGGGAGAGGAATCTAGGGGTTCTTTAAATATAGGACCATCTCATCTGCAAAGAGGAAGAGTTTTACTTTTTCTTTCCCTGTTTGGATCCCCTTTATGTTTGTTTCTTGAGCTATTGCTCTGGCTAGGAATTCCAATACTATATAGAAGAGGAGTGGAGAGAGGACATCTTTGTCTCCTTCCTGATTTTAGATGAAATGGTTTTAACTTTTCACTATTACGTGTAATGCTGGCTGTAGGTTTTTGTCATACACAGCCTTTATTATACTGAGGAATATTCCATGGATTCCTAGTTTCTCCAGAGTTTTCATCATATAGAGGTATTGGATCTTGTCAAATGCTTTTCTGCATCCATTGAAATGATCACGTGTTTCTTGTCCTTGCTCCTATTAATGTGCAGAATTACACTAATTCACTTGTGAATATTGAACCAGGTTTGCATCCCTGGTTATAGTGTATGAGTTTTTTGATTAGCTGTTGAAGTTGATCAGATGGAAATTTATTGAGAAGTTTTGCATCAATGTTCATTAAAGAAATAGTCTATAGTTCTTTTTCATTGATGGGTCCCTCTCTGTTTTGGGGTTGAGGATTATGCTGGCCTCATAGAACAAGTTTGGTAGTGATCTTTTGTTTTCAATTTCATTGAAGAGTTTGAGGAGTATTGGAATGAGTTCTCCATTGAAGGCATTATAGACTTTGGCTGTAAATCTATCTGGTTCTTGGCTCTGGGCTTATCTTGGATAGGAGGTCTTTTATTGCCATTTGTATTCCAATACTTGTTATGAGTCTTTTTAGTTGGATGAAATCTTCTTGGTTTAGTTTGGGCATATCAATCTTTTTTAAATTTTATTTTCTTGTAAAGATGCTGTATAGAGAAGTTACAGTTACATCAGTAAGGCATTGTTACCTCCTCCTTTGTTTTTCTCCCACTATCCCTTCCTCCCCTATGTCCCCCATTCCTCCCTCCAAAGTTGTAAGGTTCATTTCCAACATAGTATCTTGTGAGTCTCATTGTTGAAATGGGTCATCTTGTGACCTTGTTTCAGCATTTTGTCATTCCCCTTCCCTTCCCCAAATTAGATAAATGTATTTACAAGATGCAAGGTACCAACATCAAATCCATTGACAATAGGGGATATATCATAGGAGGAAGAACATACAAAAGAAACAAAGAAAAAAATCACATAGTATATTACATACAACAAAGAAAAACCTCTTGTGTTCATATCTTGGCATTCATTTTGCTTAGCATCATCTTATATGGTCATATGTACATAGCTTTTGACCTTTTCTGCTCATCTGATAAAATTGTCCTAGACATATACTTATTATTGCAAATAAGGAAAACAATGAGACCTATATTTCTTGGGATCTGGTTTACTTCACTTAATATGATTTCCCCAAGTCTTTCCATTTTCTAACAAATGAGGCAGGTGGTGTCATTCTTTCTGATGGAAGCATAGCATTCCATTGTAGATATCTATATATCATATTTTCTTGATCTATTCATCTACTGAGGGGCATCTGGGTTGGTTTCATATCTTAGCTATGGTGAATACTGCTGTGATAAACATGGGAGATTATATCAATATTTGCTAGAAATTCTTGCGTTTATTACAGATTTTCAAATTTGTTAGCATAAATGTTTGCAAAGTATTCCCTTCTAATGTTCTGAATCTTGCATATTTCTGTTGTGATGTTCCCATTCTCATCTCTGATTTTATTTGGGTATACTCATTATTTTACTTAGGTAACTATAACCCCTCTGTACATTACTTTTACAATAAAATAAAGTATTATTTAAAAACGAATCAAGATATTTACAAAAACGCTCATAGAAAAATGTCAAGTGAATCACTTCTTGGCCTTTCATCTAAGATCAACTGTTGTATCTGTTTTTATCAGAAAAATGTCAAGTGAATTCAAAAATGCATAAAAAGTAAAGAAGGTATTAAGACCAAAAAAAGCTCAAAATTCAGAAATCAAAGGATCTTTTCAACTCAACACACAACACTTTCATTCCATCATCATGTCAAAGATTTGAACTACAATTAAGCAGGAACTATCTTGATAGAAAATGACAGGAAATATGTAAAGAAAAGTTAGATGCTCAGGTGTTTAGGGAGAGTTTGGCTTACTACTTAAACTAATAGAAAGGTGTTGGCTTTAGTTTTTCAGTGAAGAATGGAAAAAGGCCAAAGACAGTTGAGAGAGCAAGCGAGCAAGGGCTCTGAAAAAGATGAGGTTTTTTTTGGGGGGGGTCATTTCTCCCCACCAGACCAGACAAGGTCACAACTAGGAATATCCCAGTCAGCACAACTGTGGAAATCAAAGCAAGCTAAACTAATGAATGCATTCATATTTAAATACATTCTTACTACTATATGAGACTCTATTCCCGATTCTTCCAATTTAATCTATATATGTTAGCTATATATGTTATTCTCACAGATGCTCTCAGCCAGAGGAGGCTGAGTGAAAGTAAAAAGGAGAAATGACAGCAATTCTCATCACAGACTCTCATCATTCTGAAAATTGTTTCTAGAATCTGATTATTAAAACTTCTCAAGGGTGGCCTCAGATCAAAATCTAGCAGCAAAAGCTGTAGGACCTTCTTTATGAGGAATCAGGTCTTTTCCATCATCTCATTTCTACAGTTCCACGAGGGATATATTTCTTTTTCCATCGTATCAATTTTGGAAGGCTCTAGCAACTTCAGATTTAAAGCTTAGTGGAAGGGGGAGTGGTATTAGAAGCAGGATGGAGAAAAAGAAACCGTGTATTTTTATCCAAACCACAGATGACCCACCATCTCCTGCAATTGATTGGTAAATAAATAAAGCCACACTGGTGTTTAATATTCCAGGGATTACAGGACTGTTATGTGATCCCCCACTTACTCCCGGCCATCATCCATTTGAAGCACAGCCAGTTTATTCTGCACCATCTTGTAGGTCTTGAAACCTTCTCAGCTTGGCTTTCTTTCAAGTCATAACCTGCACTTTCACAGCCCAGACGATTTCATCTCCTGTCTTCACAGTTATGTCAAGTCTATAAAAGTAAAAATCCAATGGCCAGTCATTCCCACTGTTCCATAGCTTAACCTAATTTATCCTCTTTAAATGTCCTTCAGTAATAATAACCCCATTCCTAGCTCCATCTCCTCACACCCACATCTGCCCAGCCCATTCATCATTTGATTTCTCAGCAGTTGCTCAGTTAGATCAGTGGAGAACTTGAAGGTTAATTCAAAACCAGATTTTGGTTTGGGTGTTTTCTTTTGGATTAAATCTTTTTTACCTTAAAAAATCTTAATTTAGCTAATTAATTTAGCTAATTTTCATCCTCTAAGAAAAATTTGATTTTAGTCTTGCCTCAGGAGCCTTCCACACATATATCTTTTCTCTTCATAGACATGAGCAGAGGAGCATCTACCCAGTGTCCACAGCATGGCCGCTTCCATTTAAAAGTCTTCATCTTCCTCTCCATCCATGTATAAAGATGACTCTGTAGATCATCTTTATGTCAACTGTCAGAAAAAAATTAACTCGCCTGTGCTTTGTGGTTCTTCCAGAGTCTAGTGAGATACTGCCAAGACAGAGGCTGATTTCTTGATTTACCAACTTTCTTTCCCCAGAGAGAGAGAGAGAGAGAGAGAAACCTCACCCATGAGGACTTTTATTTTAAAAGGAAAATGACTGAGCAACTCTGCCAGGCTCACACATCAGTTTTGATGGCTTGGTGGGAGCACGATTAAGGAATGTGTGATAGAGTGCAAGACATATATTCCTTTTATGTGCCGAGTATAATGAGGTAGACTGATTAGCCTAACTCGCTATGGCAAATCACTACATAGTTTTAAAAGGTCTATTCTTCAATGCACCATAATTAAATTAAAGTTAAAATGCTGTAATTATTTAGAACCAGGATGCCATTTTTTCCCTTTACTGACTTTGTGAACTTATAAGCTCAAATGAATGCAGAGATAAAATAGCATAACACAAGTTGCCTATACATTATCTTGTCTATCTTGTATGTAGAATTAAATTACTCAGGAGTTCAGAGGCTAATGAGAATCACAAGAGCTGTCCTCCATGTAATGGTAGCATTAGGTTGGCTGAATTTAAGTATCAATGGAGAGGATTAATTTGATTATTTACCTACAAGGACAAAAGTTTAAGTGCACATATACACATAGTTTTACACTCATGGCTGCTCCTCACCTTGACTGCAGTGGTATTATGTGTCAGGCAGTGTGTTTTAGGTACACTGTCGCCTGGAGCCCACAGGGCCACAGATGCTAGGTTTGCCCTACATCGTCATTTTAACTGGTATCTCAATGCCAGTTCAAACTCCAGCAGGAACAAATTAGCCCATTATGAGGTTGCTCCATCGTGACCTCCTTTTGTCCTTGATCTTTTTTGGGGGGGAGGTGAGCCTCAGCAGAGCCACTATCCCTCCAGGTCCAGACCAGAAACCCCAAAGTGATTCTTGAGCCCTTCTTTCCCCTGTCTCCAGGATCAACAATTGGTGCATCTGTCAATCCATCTGTCAAGGAAGACAGCTGTCAAGTCTTTTCCTTTGCCTCGATTCAGACATTTCTAAACGGTGGCAGCATCCCCCTGTGAAGCTTCTAGATCTATTCCTTTGCATTTGATATTCCTTGTGTGTGTGTGGGGGGGTCACTGAGGGCACTGCGGTTTGAACTCAGGACCTTGCACTTTATAGGCAGATGCTCTATTACTCAAGCCATGTCTCTAGCACCCCACCTGATGTTCTTAAAGCAAACTTTCTCATGCCTCCTTCCCTGCTTAAAACATTCCTATTATTTTCTGAAGTTCTTGCTTAAAATTATTTAAGGCTATGGCATGGCTAAAGTAGCAGACTATCTGCCCAGCAAGTATAAGAGTTCACACCCCCACAAAAAAAAATCATTGATAGTCCACCCAGTCCAATAATCTTGCTCCCTTGCCCTCTCCTCTCTAGGCTAAAATTGTAGTCTCTGTACCTCCTCCTTACTCCTCCAGCCACGTTGGCTTCCTCTTCTTAAATAAGTGGTCCATTTCTGACATGCTCAGGCTATTTTATGGCTGCTTGTTAGACTACTGTTCCTCCAGCCCCTTTACCTGAGTGTACACTTCAAGGGCATCTCCCTTGGCTTCACTCTAGGGAAGACTTTCTGTCAGACATTATCATCCCCTCTTCTTACCTCCACCACACCCAACCTAGCACACAACTGTACATGTATATGCGCAGCTATATGTTTATTACTTGTCACTCCAGCTTGGCTGAAAATTCCCTTAGTATAGGAACTGGCACTGTACTGTGTCTACTGTTAGTAAAATCCTATGTCTAGCAAACATTTTGTCCAAATACTTGATTCTATTTTTTAATTTCTAATGATTGAATATAGAAGGAAAAAATTCATTTCCAGAAATAAAAAGCAGATGAAAACAATTTACTATACAGAAATGACTTCTGATTTGTTGTATTTTAATGGTTAGGAGAAAAAGGATCTCCTTGACCTTCCAGAATGTCTAGAATTAGAAACACAAAAATATTTGTCAGATGTACAGAATAGGTGGGAAAATTGTCAACTTTATTAGAGCAAATAATATTAGAAAATATATTCCCAAGGGGGGGGGTGGAATGGTAGGAGAAAGCAGGCACTGGTAGCTCACACCTGTAATCATAGTGACTCAAGAGTCTGAGATCTGAGGATTGAGGTTTGAGGCCAGCCTTGGAAGGAAAATCCATTAGACTCTTATCTCCAATTAATGACCAAAAAGCCAAAAGTGGCTCAAGTGGTAGAGCACTATCCCTGAGCAAAACACACAGGGAATGCTCCCTTGAGTTCAAGTGCCAGGACGGACACATACTCATGAATACTTGCACATGAACACACACACACACACACACACACACACACACACACAATGTTAAAAGAGAGATCATCTGGACAATGGAAAGGAGGTTTACAAACACACTGCGAGCTTGGAGCTTGAGAGATCTTGGGGCGGGTGGAAAGAGGCGTGTACTAACGCTTGTCCAGATGGCAGTAATCCATCTTCCCAGCAGAGGGCACTCTCAGTCATTTTTGTGGAACCGGTCAGGGGACTACTTGTGTTCCAAGCTCGACCTGGGGTTCCAGTCTGATACCCCTTCCAGCCTCAAGACTAAATAAATAGCATTTAACTTACCCCATTAGACTTGGAAGCCACTGGAGGAAAAGCATACTTATAATGTAAAACCAAACTTTTGAAATCCCCACTTCCATCTCTGGTACTCCAACATCTCCATCCTCCTTTCCACAACCCCAAATTCTCATAAACCAGATCTTGGAACTTTTTCAAAAAGAAAAAATCAGTTAGCCCTCTCTTCTCTGACCAGGATTTGATTCTGTACATATTTGTCCATTTCCCCCACATTCGCCAAACATGAAGAGATGCATCCGAATATGGGTCATTTAATGATGCACATCTTTAAATTTTATTATTGCTGCCTCCCTTGCTGAAAAGAAAATGAAGTTTTTTTCATGAGTGGAAAGGCCACTAATTCTCTGATTTGTGTTTCATACGTCATGAACAATCACATTTTCATATGCTGTGCTTTTGTTTTTCTTTTTCTTTAGGGCATTGCAAGATGTGCCCTTGAACCATGAGCTGTTTGCACGGATGCATCTTAGAAGGACATCGGAGGGCAGAATTCTGGGAGTCAGAGAAAAAAGGAGTATTAAGCCCCAAGAGAAGTCAGAGCAGCCAACAAAAGAGAGGAACACAGTGCATATAAAAATGAACAGTACAGGGCTGGGAAGGTGGCTTAGTGGTAGAGTGCTTGCTTAGCATACATAAAGTCCTGGGTTCCATTCCTCTGTACCACGTAAACAGAAAAGGTCAGAAGTGGCACTGTGGCTCAAGTGGTAGAGCAGCACTAGCCTTGAGCAAAAGAAGCTCAGGGACAGTACCCAGGCCTTGAGTTCAAGCCTCATGACTGGCGAAGGAAGGAAGGAAGGAAGGAAGGAAGGAAGGAAGGAAGGAAGGAAGGAAGGAAGGAAGGGAAGGAAGGAAGGAAGGAAAACAAGGAAGGAAGGAAGGAAGGAAGGAAAGAAAAATGAACACTACAGACATTTGCCTGAGTTGTCACTATGCTTCATGGCATGGAGATATCACAGAAGATCTATGAGCCATGGATAATTAATACAGTCCAGGAAAATTGCCTAGAGATAATTAATCCCAAACCGAGGGTCCAAAATATTTATTGCTGTCAGTGTACACAAACGAGCTAAAGACCACATATCTTCAGAAATGAGAGACTGTCCCTCGATGAAATCACTTCTAATGGCCTGCTTGCTGCAAACCTCTGCGAGTGTGGGGCTCCGAAGTGAAACACTCCAAACAACATGATGCTTTCCTCAACGGAGAACATTAAACGATTTCCCATTTGATACCTAATGAGATTTAAAAACACACACACAACTAATTGCTGGCTTACTATAACTTTCTGAAAGAAGACTGGAGCATTAAGGAAACAAACTATGGCAATGTTCCCATACTAGGAAGAATTGAAGAAGACCCGTGGTCCCAGAAATCTACTCTTACATAAACTGGCACCTAACAGATGCTTCACCTAATCAACCAAGAGAGATCTCTGATACATAGCTTGGTGTGCTGGTGTACACCTGTAATCCTAGCTACTTGGGAGGCTGAGACAGGAGGATTGGGAATTCCAATTCAGCATGGGCAAAAGAAAAAGAATAATTCAGTTTCAAAAATAAAATTTTATAGTAAGTGTTGGGACTATTGCTCAAAAAGCACTTGTCTAGCATGCACATAACCCTAAGCTCATTCCCTAGCAACACACACACACACACACACACCTGATGCATAAATTAAATGATAGATCCTGAAAGATTCACAACTGGACAACTTCAGATAGACCTGGCCATTATGAAAATGAGTCAGCTCTGAACAAAAATTCCAGTGTAATTTTTAAAAATATGTAAAATTTCTCTATGAGAGTCATAAACCCTCACAACCCAGTAAAGGCTCTGC